GGCGTGATTGCAAGTGCACCAGGCCAAGGCACTGAGGGACTTGCAAGAGGGTGGTCACGACCCGGAAGTTCGCAGAGAACTCCGCACCGTGACGGACCTCGCGCCACGAGCGACGAAGGTTACGGCGCGGTCTCTGTATCGTGCGATGTTCACTATGGTGGTCCAGGAGCGCCATTTCTGGCTGTGTCTGGCTGACATGCGCGAGACGGACAAGACGCGATTCTTGAATGACCCCGTGTCCCAGACCGGCCTTTTCGGCGACACAGTGGAGAACTTTGCCCAGCAGTTCTCCGCTGACCAAAGCAGACTGAGGCCATCAGGTACATCGTGCCCTGGCGTGCAGCTGCTGCTGTCGCCGAGGGCGGCCCCCTGCCACCGCCCCGGTCCCGCGGCCTCCAGCAAAGCTGCGCCGTGGAGCCGGTCGCAGGGCAGCCGCCCCGCCCGTCCAGGCCCCCGCCAAACCTGATGGCAAGCGAAGGAGCAAGAGGCCCTGAGACGGGCAACCCAGAGGTGGAAGGACCTGCTCTTTGGGAGATGGTGAGCACACCACTCCCTCCCCCGGAGGAGGGCCGGGAGGAGAATCTTTTCATTTTTTTCCGCCACTGACCTCTCGGTCGGTGGTACCCAAATGCTCGACAAAGAGCAATTCCTCTATTTCTGGGTCCCCAGAGGGGACGGGGGGTTGTGGACGATCTAGTGCGTACGATCTAGATCCACGCACCCTCTGCTCGAACGCAGGTCAGTGTTACACATACCAGACCCCGCCTCAGACCGGCTACGAGACGTCCGGGCCGGGTCCCTGCATTTTTCCGCGCTGCCCCACTGCAGGTACGCCTGTAGTTCCATTGATGTCACTAGCGCGGTGTCTGGGAGCCTGGCTTGAGCTACCCAGCCCGTCTCGATGGCTCCTTCGAACCGTCAGGCTCGGCAATGCGATTCAGTCGCCCGGCGTCCCCTCCAAGTTCAGTGGCATCCGCTTCACAACAGTGAAGGCGGCCGATGGTCCTGTCTTGCGGGCGGAGGTTGCAGTCCTACTGGCGAAGGATGCGATAGAGCCGGTCCCTCCAGC